GGGGGGGGGGGGGGTTGGTGCAGAGGAAATGATCAGATGCTGAGCGTTAGGCCGAGACTCCTGACAGCCTCCACCTGGGGCGGGGGTAAGGAGGGCAAGAAACTCCTCCTCCTGGTTAAGGTACCGACACGTGGCCGCTCAGACTGGCCTGGGAAACAGTCCTGAGAAGCAGAACTGCTCTCCAGCCCTCAACACGCACCCCCTTTACAGATGGCAGGTCTTACAATGTCCCTCCCTCAGCCTTCAGTGGCTTGGAAGGCTGCCACCCTGCCACAGCCCCAGCAGGCTCAGAAAACAGGCCCCACCTCCCCCCACCACCACACACACGTAATTAAAACACAATAGCAGGCCCTAGCTGGTTTGGCTCAGTGGGTAGAGCGTTGGCCTACGGACTGAAGGTCCCTGGTTCGATTCCAGTCAAAGAGCACATTCCCGAATTTCGGGCTTGATCCCCAGTGAGGGGCGTGCGGGAGGCGACCCATGGGTGGTTCTCTCTCATCATTGATGTTTCTGTCTCTCCCCCTCCGGTCCTCTCTGAAATCAATAAAAATACATATTTTACAAAAACAGTACAAAACCGGAAAATAAGTGTAAAGAAGTCCAACAAAGTTCCGATTCTTCCCATAATGACTACGTCAATACCTTCTTCCAAAATACCAGAATTATTTTTTAAAAAAATTTATAAGAGCTTATTTGAGCCAAAACTGATGACAATTGCTGGGAAGCAAGATCTCAAATACTCCAATACCAGATTCTTAAAAAAATAAAACAATGATTCTTTGAGCTGTCGATTTTAGCTAATCGCATACGGAGGGAGACCGCGTCTTTCGGCCACACACACGTTCACCTCTCCTGGAATGCACTGGTCTGTCTCCATCGATTTTCCCTGGAGGACTCCTCCTCGCCCTTCCGTGCACAGCGGAAAGGTCTCCTCCTCCAGGAAGCCCTCCCTCCCACTCGGGTTTGGAAGCCCCTCCCGCGGCTTTCCCCGGCGCGGCAGACCCTACTGAGTCTCCGCCCCTCGTCCCCACCCCCAGCCGGGAAGCTACTCGTATCGCCGAATTAATAGCCCCAGCACCCAGCGCTGCCTGGCACCCGGTTAACGCCCAATAAACGCGGTGGAAGGAACGGGAGTGGGGGAAGCGCCAGCGGACACCCAGCCGCAGCCGCGCCATTGGAGGCAGAGGACCCCACCTCCCCCCTCCTAGCCGGCCCCCAGACCACAGCGCACCGGGGACTGCGACCCAGCGGCACCGACACCGTCCGCAGTAGAAGCCCAGGCTGTCCGTCCTTTGGGTTCAACCCAAAGCCGCGGTACACGGAACCGCCTGCTACCCGGCTGCTGAGCCGCGGCCCCGACGGACCCCGACCTGCCAACCTCCGCCGCCCCGTTGGCCTCGAGGGCCCAACTCCCAGCTGCTGCCGGCACGTGCGCGCGCTCGCGTCTCCGGGCGGGGAGCCGGCTGGGCGCGCGTGCCCGCGGCGTCCCCGTGTTGGGGAGAGGCCTCGGCGTTCAGGAGCGCTGTGGAGCGTGGCACCCCCCACCCGGGGCCCACCCGGTGCTCCGTGGACTGCTCGCTGCGCACTGGGGGGTAGAGGTCACGCTGGCAGGCAGAGACAGCACACATTTAATGGGGGGCTGCGCCCAGCCCACCCCGCAGTTACAAGACGGGGAGCATGGGGGACAGAGGCCTAATTCCCCCCGGGGCCTTAGAGCAGCTGCCTCCATCCAGACCAGCAGCCACGTCCCTGACCTCACATGCTCCCTTCACTTGGCCACTGGGAGAGTTTCTGCGAGTTCTGAGGAGAGAGGAGAGAGAACCACAGGAACACGGGCTCCTGGGAGAGATGGGAAACCTTGTTTCTGAAATATGTCAGGAGAGAAAATGTTCTTGTTGCGCATACACAGGCGTGGTGACACATTTTGTTCGTTTTAGAGGAGAGTGATTCAGACGGTGGAGGGTCAGCGAAGGCTGCTAGATCTCTAGCCCTATGAAACTCTAACCTATCCTAGCACCTAATTCCTGAATATTCTCACGAAGTCTCTCAATTATGGGACCAGAGATGGATAGCAGGGGGAGGAAAAATCCAGAAGCAAAGATGAGGGTCTGGGGGCTGTCAGGTGAAGAGAACCATTAGCTCCCTCTCCCCAGGAGGAAGACCTCCAATCCTTCCCCACCCCCAAGTGTCCACGGGGCCCCTCTTTAGTATTCTCCGGCAGAGAAGGGCATCTCATTGACCAAGGGTGGGGGATTGTTTGCATGAAGCCTCTGAAAGACCAGGGTCTCACCGACAGTCCCTTGGAAACAGTAAATGCAGCCATTTGGCATCTTGGGGCTTGTTTTCCTGTTGGTTGGGTCCTTTCTGGTTTCCTTCCTCCACAAGACAATGTAAGATTATACACCACCCCTCCCAGGAAGGAGGGAGTCCTCACAGGAGTTACTCACTCCTGTATTCCTTTCACCCAGTACAGGGCCTGGTTCATAGCAGCTGTTCAATGGACGTTTGTTTGCTCTGTGAGTGGCTGAATGAATCACAGGTCTCGTCACAGAATATGGGAATCTTGGACTTAGAAAGTCCCTTGGAGGATACCAAGCCCCACAGAGCATGTCTGGGAGCTGCTGACTAGAATGAGACCCTGTATCACCTGGTCTAGAGAAACATTTCCTGCCACCCCTTCTGTCCACTCCCAGCACGCACACACACACACACACACACACACACACACACACACACACGCACCACAAAGGCTTCGCTCTCTCTAGAGAGGCCTCCAGATCTCCTCAAAGCAACAGACCACAGACCGCCCATTCAGGAACACTGCCCAGGTCAAAGGCTGTGCTCCATCCTTTCTCCTGCCTGTTGGTCTTAGGAAGCAAAAACTGGCACTGTGCCTGGCAAAGGATGGTGAGCAGTGACCTTGCTTCTGCCACCTGGGTAGGGTAGGGGAGGGGCAGTGCTAAGTCAGGTAGGCTGGGGAATAACACCAAGGTCCCAGGAACCCCTCACCTCCCAGACCCCTTTTCCAGGCTTTCCCACCTTTTGTGCCCTGGCTGTTACCCTGGGAGAGTGTAGCCCTCAGACCTGATAAATTCTGAAGGCCATGGAGAGGCAGGAAAGCTCAGGCACACCAAGTGCAGGCTTCCTGGGACAGAAGGATCCTGATGAGATGCCACAAGAAGGAAGGCCAGTTCCTCCCTCAGACACGCTTACCTTCTCGGTAAGGCAGAGGGACTCTCAGGACCTGTCTCAGATCAGCCACCTGATGACCATTAAAACCTTGAAACGTTCTTCTATGCCTCCATTTCCCCATTTTTTATTTTTCAGCACAGAGGCCATTCCTCCATCTACATAGTAATCTGATTTTCTCTACATCCCTCTACTCACATTCATTTACTCGTGACCTCAAGGACTGGGGAAACTGAGGCACGAAGGACAAGATTCCAGGATTTGAAAGGTCATTCTTGGCTCAACTAAGAAGACATGAGAGCCCCTTGACCTTGTCTACAACTATATTGGGCCCCACAGGCCCTGCCCTGATATATGCCCTTACGCTTTCTGCTTGTGGTTAGGTAGAAGCAGACTCTTCTTTCATTGGATAAAATGAGCAAAACTACCAGAAGTTAATGAAAGATACTGAACGCAGCACAGGAATAGAAGTCAGGGGACCTAGTTGAAATTTCACCAACTAGCTGTGTGACCTTGTATAAGTACCTTAACCCTTTTGTGACTTCTCCTGTATTGCGAGGCTAGGATACACCTAAAGGTCCTTTCCACTCTAAAGGTCTATGAAATTAGCTCTCATTTCAAACCCATTCCCCGGTTTGCCCTTGCCCTTCCAGGGAGGGGCACTTGGGCAGGTATGGGCAAAGAGCTCTTCTTTGGTTGCGGACCCTTGGGCCAGTGCCTGATGCCAGAGGAAAAGAAATCGCCCGAGTTTTCTCTCGGCAGCCAGGACAGAGACCCAGTTCCCACCCTGCTTGTTCCTCTACCTGCTCCTCTGGCTGGTACCCCCTGGCGAGTGTAGCCTTCAGATCTGACTGCCCAGACACTGGCAGGCACCGTGCTATCTTTCCAATTCTGACAGGTCCTTGCTGACTCTCCCCAAGCTGGGCTTGTCCCCAGTCCCCCTCTGAGGGCAGTACCTTTCCAGCTCCCACCACCGACCAGGGCAGCTCCAAAGGAGGGAGAGAAGTGAAGCTCTATAGTGTACCCCTCACCCAGACACCCAGGCTCCTCCGGACTTCTGTGCCTCAGAGGAGGCAGCCATGTGATTTTCCAGGTTCTCCACAGAGGACTCCGGTGTTCAAACTCCTGCATTTTCTTCTTTCTCTCACTCATTTCCTCAGTTTCTTCTCCCCCCTTCCCCTCCCACTCCTTCATCAATTTCCCCAAGATCTTTCTTCTTTGCTGAAGGTCCCCGTTCTTCCTCTGAGCCCTCCTGTTCTCTCCTCCGGGGCCATCCTGGAATCCTGGCTGACTGATAAGGACAGGAACGCTCCTCCGTTGGGCCATCAGCATGAGAGGCAGTCCTCCTGGGACACTCTCCCCTCGCAGCCCCCAACAATCCCTCAGCACCAGGCACCTGACAAGGGATCCTCACTTGAGGCCTTTGGGGGAAGACAGCAAATGCTGTGAAATACTGAATTCTAGTCAAAGCAGCCTTGCAGTTCAATTGACCACTAACATGTGAAGTGGCCGAAGACCCACCACAAAGATGCCACCGATGAGCACATTGCAGTGCATGGGACACTTCTCCACTATCAGCGGTCTTCCCAGTTTCACAGCCCCTGCTCTGTGAGTCCGTGAGGTTTTCCTAATCACATTCAGAGCGAGGTGAACCTGTGATTGGCTATTTCTGCCACCCACACTAAAACTATTCCAACGTCTTAGAGATCTCACATCGTCCACTTTATTTTATTCTTACAGCAATCCTGCGAGGTGGACAACCATCTTGAGGAGGAGAAGCAGCAGTTCAAGGAGAGGAAATGACTTGCTTACAGCCACACAGCAGACTCCAAGCCGCAGACTCCAAAAGGAAAGGGGAAGGGGGCCCCATCAGCCAGCCACCAGGTGTGCAGCCCCGGACGCGGCCGGGCACGTGGAGAGCCGGGCCCCGCCCCCTGCCCTGCTCCCCGCCTGCCAGGAGTTTGAGGGAAGAAGTCTCGGCTGTTCCTGGGACCACGTCCCCACGTGCGCGCACGCCCTGGGGTGAGGCTTCTTTGCAAAGCCAATGGCCTTGAACTCTGTGCTGGAGGGGCACTGGGCGGAGGGAAACCCGGAACGCGGAAAGGAGGCCGCGGGACTGGGTGGGGGGGGGGGGGTGAGAGAAGGACTAGCTCCTCCCTGCGGGGCCAGGGACCTGGGAGCCGCCGGGAGGAATCCTCCCCAGCGCGAAGCCAGGG